TAAGTTCCCAGTGCAGGTCAGAGCTTTCTACCAGATCCTAAATAACTGCCCCTTCTCTCACCTTGAATTCTGCCATTCCAATCTTGAATTCAAAGACCTGTGATAAAGTGATGGAGAAAGAAGTGTGGCGGGAAAAAAAGGAAGGCAGTTTAGGGAAGCTTTAACTTAAAAAAAAAAATCTTTTAAAATAACGGATGAAAGAAAACCAAAGAAACTCAATTCAACTTCAGAAAATTGCTGTTCCTCTATTATTACTTTCTGTCTCCTTAACCCCCCCCCCAATAGATACAGCTTCATCTAGTTTTTCAAAGTTACCATGCTTGCAAATATCCAGCCTACAAAATTGGCCTTGGCCCCATCTGCCTCTTGTGCAGATTAAGCACATAGACTGCTTCCACATCTCACTCAGAGAGTGCACAGCCTCATCTGGCTACAGCTGACACATTCTGAGTCCCCCCACCCCCTTCAGATTCCCAAGAGAACCAATCAAAGACAGAAAATGTCAGAGTCAGCAACCTCTTTGGTCTTCAGGGCCTCTGCTGGGCTCAGCAGTGCCCAAGGGGGGGATGTCTAATGTGGTCTCAGGGATAGGTAAAGATGATACCAAAAGGAGGGGGGCTGGGGGAGATGGGGAAAAATAATAAAGAGAATGATAGAAAGATAAGATAAAGAACAAAGAAAAGAAGGTTACTATTTAGAGGGAACAGTGACTACTTTACAGAACGGTTCAGTGATCCCTAACTATAACTAACTATTTTGGGTATTGTTCAACTCTACAAGAGTTTTAAACCAGCACCAGGATTCTAATGCCAACAAAGCTCCTGGCTGAGGACCCCGGGCAGAGCACAAGAGTCTGTTCCTCATCTTGAATTTGACCTCTTTGAAGATTCTTTTGAGTTTTAATTATTCCTCATGTGTTTCCAGCCTATACTTCATGGAGAAACTGCTTATGTTGTCTTATATGATGTGAGAACCTGCTTATCTTGTTGTGTTTATTATGGCAAAGAATCTAGGAGTGTGAACCAGAAGGGGAAATCATTAAAGGTACATTTATGGGAGTGCACACAGAATAGGACCCTGCTAAGTCAAAGGGTTGGCTAATTAGTGAGAGCAAGTCTTCTGGCAGGCCATGGAAATCCTGCATTTTAAGGCCACCAAAGTGATGCACCTAAGTTAGCATCTTATGTCCATTTTCTCTGCCTCTGTGGTGGGATGAAGCCTAGTTTCTGGGGCCTCACAAAGGACACAGTGAGCCCATTTCTTGGCATTGACTGGATGCATCATCTCTCCTTCCACATCCCTTAATGAAGTGTGCAGTTCTTGTCCTCATTAGGCTCCAGCATTGTCAATAAAAGAGTCAATAAACCCGGTTGATGGGGTTGGGACCGAGAGGCTGAGATGCAGCAGCCACACATCCATAGGGCAGACATGAGCTCTGCCACATGTCGTGACCCAGCATCCAGGGATCAATAACCTGCTCAGGATAAAGTCTCAGAGCCTGCCCTCCTCAGCCTCCTCTCCAGACCCACTGCACCCAGGATGGAACAGTGCCAGCCGGCTCCTGCTTTGCTTGCAGTTGTTCCCACCCCATGCCATTCTGGGTGCCAGATGCTTCTGTTTCTTCTTGATTGAGCCCTCTGGACACCCCTTGGATGCATATTTAGTGAGTGCCCACCTGGCATCAGAACATGTAGAAAGCATCTCCAAGCAGCCCAGAGACCGACATGGGCCTTATTTTCTGCATCTCCTGTTTGCTGACAGTGTGTGAGGTGTCCCAGTGGACAAGGTGGTACATTTTCTGCATGTTGTGCTGTTGGACTCCATTCCTGGCTCTCTTTAGATACCCTTATCTTATCTAATTACAAGGAATTTCAGATTAATTTCATGGCCTCTGCTCCCAAGGACCTCTTATCTGTGAGGGCCTTGTATTTTAACCTTGTCATTCTTCTGTTGTTTGCCTTTAAGGGGTGGGCAGCTAAGAAGGGATGCTAAGATCTTGCTGGAATTGGGGTTGGGGGAGGGGGAGAGGAAGGAGGCAGACAGACCTGGGATTTGTGTATTCTGCTCCATCCCCCTGCCTATGTGCTGACAGCTGGCTGCTTTCTTCCATGACAGCCACATGGTATCCAGCCACACAGAACAGGACCCAGGCAGGGACTCGTCTGCTGCCAACCTCTCCAGATCTCTTTGATATTTCCGACAGAGCAGTAAAGGACTCTTGACTATCACGTTTTGTCTTGCCTCTCTCCACCTCCTCTAAGACTCCTCAGTGTGGTTTCCATGGCTACCCCCAATCAGATTTGGCTTCCTGCGAAATTGGATTTCAAAGAAGGACAAGGCTTCAAAGGAATTTGTCCATTTAACAGAATGTCATTAGGAGTGAGGCTGACTGCTGAACCAGGGTCCTCAGATGATTAAGGAGGGGCTGCACTCATGTGTGGAGGCAGGTTTCTGTCTGCAGTAAGGAACCTTGATGCAACATGACAATACGTTATTGGAATCTGCCAGTCACTAGCACACACTACCCAACTTGCACCTCCCTCTACCCTAATCCCTCTAAAACCCAGAGATTCCTGTGGGGAAGCATGGCTGTGGAATACCTACCCCATGAGTTTCTGCCATGTCCCAAGGTATGAGTAATCTCTGTGAGGTCTGGAGTTTTGTCCTTTATCAAATAACTCATTAGCTTCAAGCTTAAATGAGTATATGACACAATGTCCTTGAAGAAAAGGAGGAGGTTGTCATTTTTTTTTTTCCCTCATTGCTGAAAGGGAAAGCAAAGCAGTTTGGATGATATATAGGGGAGACTTTGTTTCCCTTGCTGCTTTTTCTTTTTAACAGTTTTAGATCCACAAAAATTGCAACAATAGTACAGAGAGTTTTGATCTACACTCCTTTACTTTTAAACATATATCATAAGTACTCCAAAATGATACTAGGGCAGCTACGATTTTATAAGGGAGTTGTGAGGTTGATAAAATGCTCCATGGGGCACCTGGTACTTGCTTGGAGCCTGGAGGAGATAACCTACCCAAAGCTTTGCTTTCTCAGGACAAGGAGGATGAGCCAGAAGGAGCCAGATTCCCGGAAACTTATGGCTGCTCTGACCCTTCAGCTCAATTTGTTGCAACTTGTAGGAGGGTCATGAAATCCCAAAACCAAGGCATCATTCTTTTTCAGATGGCAGGATGTGATCAAAGTCACTGCTCCCATTAAAAGGTGAAACTTTGACCTTGGGGCTGTATCTCTGGAGAGGGAATCTATTCCAAGAGGCAGGTGCTTCTACCATGCATCCTCTGGACAGTTTCTTCTTTCCGCTCTCTCCCCATCTTCCAGGTTCAGCCTGTCATTATTTCCACAGAGGCTGTTGTAAAAATTAAAAATTACTTCACACATTTCTCTTGTGTCCCCTTTTACTGCTTCCAATTCTTCCTACATATTCTGTAGGTCAAGTTGGAGAATAGAAACACCTTGATGGTGGGGGTGGGGGGGTGGTAGAGGTGAAGAGATCCCATGTTAGGTCTCTCTAGCTTAAAAATCATCAATGACTCCCCATATCCATTCAGTTTTAAAACCCCCATTCAGACATCCAAGTTCCTTCATTTATTTATTTTGGTCCTGGGATTGAACACAGGGGTGCTCTACAGCTGAACTGCATCCCCAGTCCTCCTTTTTAATTTCTTTTAAAATTCTGAGACAGGCTCTTGCCTGAAATCTGTGATGATCCTGCCTCAGTTTCCCTCCTGCCTCAGCCTTCCAAGTAGTTGGGATTACAGGTGGGTGCCACTGCATGGGGCCCAAGTCTCTTTATAATAGATTAAGTTAATCTTGACAACTGTAATTTCTCTACACCATTCAGTAAAGAAGGTCTACTCACTGTTCCTCTACAGGAGAGTACTTTTCCATCTTCGTTTACTTTGGTCCTTCCACCTGGAAAGTCCTCCCAACTCTTCAAAGTCTTGGTGTGGTGTTCAGAGCCCATCTCAAATGCTACCCAAACTGAAAGCACACACACGGAGAGACTGCCACCTCCATCTTTTCCATGTAGTTATTTGTTTTCTTTAATCACTCATGTCACTCTTTCGGTCTATGGTACTTTCTTTTTAAATAACTATTTTGAGATAATTGTAGCTTCACAGACAATGGTAAGAAGTAACCCTGAGGAATCCTGTGTACCTGTACCCAAGTTCCCACAGTGATAGTATCTTCAGTATCTACCACAACAGGGACATGGACTTTGACTGCATTTTGAGAGGGAAAGGGCACCTCTCTGTGATCTTGTCCTTCACTTTCTCCCTTGTTCAGCTCTCAGAGGGAAAGGGCTCTGTTTCCTCTCCCTCAGTGGCTCCTCAGGTTGCCCCTTCCTTTCCTCAATGCCTTTCAGCTTCAGGGAGAAAAGGACACTCGGGCTGTGTCCATTGCTGCCTTGCCGCTCCTGTTCTCCCAACTGCTGGGGTCCTGTATTATTTTTGGGGACTTCGGATCATTCCCTTTAAACATCGTGGTTTCCTTGAGACAGAGAACGTCCTGCGCTCTTTTCTGGGCATGACCACGAGAACCGGATCGGCAACGGAGGGGCGCTATGCTTGGTGGGGATGAATCTCATTCTTGGATTCTCCTTCCCCATTTCAGGCACCACGGTGGCCTTTTAAACCTGCCACCTGGAGACCAACTGCTCAGTACTTAGGTTGGCGTTTCCAAGAGTCACGGCTCCTTGGAGTCAAAGTCTTCTGTTTTGGCGGGGACCGGGAGCGGCACACCTTTGGCCCTAAGTGGTGCGGAGCTCCGGGCGCCCGGGTCTTCCCATCTAGGGT